TACCTGCGGCCATTAGATGCATATATACGGTAATACACAGTGGCTTGACGGTGGCTGGTGCTGCCGAGACAAAGGTTTTTGCGTCAGCTGAGCCTGAACAATGATCCACGTACCGTAATAAGGACTTCGTGGGGGCCGTGCCGGAGAACAATGGACTCAATGAAAAAAAACTTGGCGACTTCAGCAGCCATACCTGATGGAAGGGCTTTCATCTGGGCGTACTGTGTGAGATAATCAGTCGCGACGATTATCCATCTGCTTACTTGCAGTGGGGGAGGGAAACGGTCAATGTAAATTCATTCCATTGCAATAGGCTGAAGAAGTCCTGCTTTTCTCGTTAGTGGTTTCTTCCGTCGTTGACACTCGTGGCAAGATCGGATGCAGTAATGGACTCTTTTTGCAAGTTTGGGCCAGTAGTACTTTTCGCACATCCTGGCAAAAGTCCTGGTGTAGCCAAGGTGTCACGCCAAGCCACGCCACGCCATGCCACGTGGCAGGCCTGAAATATTTCTTCTTGAAGATTGGAAGCTATCACGAACAGCCATGCCGTGTTGTTGCTGAAGCTCTCGTTGTAGAGCACACCTTGTCAGATTGAAAAGTTTGGCAGTGTTCGTATGAAAACAATTGAGAACAGCGTTTCCTTGTCCTTCTAGGTGCTCGATGAGTGCTCGCAGTTCAGGGTCGCCTCGGAGTGCTGCCATGTCGCTTACATCCAGAGCTCCGAGGAAACATGCATCGTCGTCGTCTTCGGGGTAGGCAGGACCAGACTCGAGAGGGGCTTTTGACAGGCAGTCGGCGTCATTGTGCTTCTGGCCAGACTTGTATACCACAGACGTGTCGAACTCCTGCAGTCGTAGGCTCCACTGGGCAAGGTGTCCGGAGGACTCCTTCAGATTTGTGAGCCAGCAGAGCGAGTGGTTGTCTGTGACCACGCGAAAGGGACTTCCATACAAATATGGGTGGAACTTTGTCATTGCCCAGACAATAGATTGCAAGGCACTCCTTTTCAGTCGTTGGGTTTGCTCTCTGCATTAGACAGCGTCCGACTTGCGTATGCGATGACGCGCTCTGCCCTGTCCTGCATTTGAACTAGTACCACGCCCCGTTCGGTGTTACTGGCGTCAGTGTGGATCTGTTTCAGTGAACTGGTCGAAATTGTCAAGGAATCGGGGGCGTCTGGAGTCTTTGTTCGAGCTCGTAGAATAACCGCTGGTGTTCTTCTCTCCACTCTAACTTTACGGCGTCCTTCGTGAGGTGCATTAGCGGTGTGGACAGTTTGGCGAAGTCTCAAACAAAGCGCCTGTAGTAGGCATAGTCCTAGAAATCTTCTCACGGCTTTCTTGTCAGATGGCAGCGTAAATGTAGATACGGCGCAGGTCTTCTCGGGGTCAGAAAGAACACCTTTGTTGTTCACAAAGTGGCCAAGGAACTTAGTTCTCCATAGGCGAACTGACACTTGGTTGGCTTGAGTGACAGGCCGGCGGTCTTAATGGCTTGAAGAACGGCTCGAAGTCGTCTCAAGTGTTTGTTGAAGTTCCGTGAAAAGACTGCGACATCGTCCAAGTAGATGAGGAAGCTCTGCCATTTCAGACCTGCCTGCACGGTGTCCATGACACGCTGAAAGGTGGCTGGAGCTCTACAAAGTCCGAACGGCATCACTTTGAACTCGTACAGTCTGTCGGGAGTGACGAAAGCCGTTTTCTTGCGGTCGCATTTTTCAACTTCGATCTGCCAGTAGCCACTCATCAGGTCCATCGACGAAAAATATCGGGAGTGGTGCAGTCCGTCTAACGTAAAGTCGATGCGAGGGAGCAGATGGACATCCTTCTTAGTCACAGCAATCAGTCGACGATAGTCTACGTAGAAACTCAGGGTTCCGTCCTTCTTTACAAGGACGACTGGGGACGCCCACAAACTTCTTGAGGGTTGAACAATGTCGTCGTCGTCGTCGAGCATCTCCTGGACTTGCTCTTAAATCACCTTCTTTCCTTTCCCCGAAAAAACAATTTCTGCAAACAAATTTGATTTTGAAAAATGTCATATTTACATCCACCAACATCTTGAGAGTAACCCCAGAAAGTTTCGTTACTTTCACTTTATAATTCATTTTTATAAATTATTTTCGGTCCACCGATGTTAAATAAAAGGTAGAGGTTGGTGCATTTTGAATGCATTTTTCTCCATTACACTTTTTGGCATAAATTTCACTTTAGGAAAACTATCGTTTTGATCTTGCGTAACTTGGATTCACTTTAGCTATGAGCTTGTATTTTTATTTTTGTAATTTTTCATGCTCAAGAACTAACATTTTGGACAAAGGATGCAAATCTGAAAAAACAGGATTTGTATTTATGTGGCTTTTTTGTCATGAAAGATGGTATAATATTGAAATAAAGCACCATAGCTATCTGTTCTGAACTGTCCTAAAGCAATATAACACACAAAAACGACAAATTTGTAAGTAATTTCAAAACAATAGTTTTCCTACGCAGACATGCCCACTTTCATCTTTGAACATTTACGATTTTTTTTGTACTTCACCTAGGTTAACAAAAACTGGCAGAAATGTTCTCAACATTAACAGAAACAAGCCTTGTAAATGTCATTTAAATCAGACACGTGGTTCAGATATTCACTTTTGTGGGTAGTGTCTCCCCTTAGGGAGAGTCTGTATGGTGACTAGTGGACAGGTAGTGCGTCATCGTCATTAATGATGCAGTGCTTCGCTACCGTGGTTTGTCGGACCCTTGATGTTGTGGCGAAACATTTGCCAATTTTGCTCAAAAGGTCAAGCAGACGTCCTCGTTCAGTAGCTGGAAGCTTCGGGTCAATGTCAAGTTCTGGGGGCGGCGTTCTCTTGTGCTGCGATAAAGTCGGATCTTCCAGAAGTACAGTGATTGCGGTTGAGTTCTGGAGCTCATCGATGTGGCCCACAGCAATTACCTTTTGTAATGTGCTGTGGCTTTTCTTGGAAATTTGTATCCAGGACTATTGCACGCCCGTTTTGAAGTTCTGTTTCTTGTACGATACCGATTCCTCTTTCTGAAAGCAACTGGAGGCTTCCCTCGAGCAGAACTTCGCCGCAGAAAGCTTCAGTGATCCCAACGGGTACAAAAGCGCTTGACCGCGGTGGTAATTTCACCTAGCTTGCGAGGACTCGGACCGCGGTTGACGTCGTTTTGGGTTTCTCCGGTGGTGGAACAGGTTTTTGTAGCATTAGCCGGTTTGCTCTGAGGTCGATGACGGCGTCATACTCGCAAAGAAAGTTCATTCCAAGGATAACGTCCCTCGCACAGTCTTGCAGAACAACGAACTTCACAGGGCACATCTTACCGTGGATCTCGACGTGAGCAGTGCATCTTCCGATGGGTGCGATGAGGTGCCCACCGGCGGTTCATATCTGCGGCCCATCCCACGGCGTTGTCACATTTCGCAGGCGGCGAGAGAGCTTCCCACTCAAGACTGAGTAGTCTGCTCCGGTGTCCACGAGCGCCGATGCGTCGTGGCCGTTGATAACAACATTTACCGTAGAGTACCGCGGATCCGCCCATTCCAGATTAAGAGCCCATTACCAAATTTGTAAGACCTGAGACAATATGCACGGTAGATTTATGTGTAAAATTCATGACTGGACAAGTGCCCATCCCCTATTTTTTCGCGATTATCTCCAAAGTTTGAGGGGGCGCTCGCCCAGTATTTTACGGTAGGTTGTTGGGCGCCATTGCAGGGGTGTCGTTGTGATGCGGGAGAGTGGAGCACTCCTCCGTTCTTGAAGGCTCTTTACCTCTGTCGTCTTCGGCAACGTCACCTCCAGGCATTGCTGCACTCAGTTTTCCCTCCGAGATAGGGGGGGCAGGCTTTCCCGCCGGTAGCTGCGGAAGGCTGAAAGCGCACGTCGAGGCGAAGGCGAACGGGAATCTTGTGGTAAGATCGGCACAGTGGGCAGAGGTCGTTGGAGAAACTCCTTAATGTCCCTTGGTCGCTCCCCAAAACAGTGTTGCGGGTCGCTTGGTGCAAAACCTCGCAGGCCCATTTGTCGGTATGGGCACCTCCGGTAGATATGGTCGACCTCTCCGCAGTGATAACACAGCGGTCGTCGATCGGCCGGGCACCACACATCTGTCTTCCTAGGTGCTAGTTGTTCGATGCGGATGAGCTGGGGTTGCCCTTCGCGACGTCAGAAAGTCTGCGGCGCTGGTAGGTCACGTTGAGGCGACGTCGAATACTGTTGGGCAGCTGGCGCTGGTCTCCAGGCTACTGCTACGTAGGTAGGAGAGGGCTCCTCGGGTGCTGCTATGCTGGCAGGAGCCTCTGGTTGGAATGCCTGCTGAACTTTGTCGCGGACAACTTCAGCTATCGCCAGCGAAGCAGGCTGGTTGGCATTGGGCAGGAGCTTCTTGATTTCCTCCCGTACGACATCCTAGATGATCTCGTGGATGTCTGGGGTGTTGCTGCTGTATGGTGAGAGGGCAGCGAAGCCGGGAAGTCTCTGGTAGTGGGAGGCCCGTGCTTAAAGGGCATGTTTGATGTTTTGTTGCCTCAGTGATGAAGCCTTTGACGGTGGTAGGCGGGCTCTGCACGAGGCCTCCGAGGATGTTTTCTTTCACTCCCCGCATCAGGACCCGCAGCTTTTTCTCTTCGGGAGTGTTTGGGTTGGCGCGGTTCATGAGGCAAAGAATGTCTTCGACGAAACTTGTGACACTCTCATTTGGAGCTTGACTTCTTGCTTGGAGAAGTTCTTCGGCCCGATGATGTCGCTGCTGGCTGGCAAAGGTGCTTCAATGCTCTGCCTAGAAGTCTTCCCACCATGAAATCGACGCTTCATAGTTTTGGTGGCTCTGCAGAAGCTGACATTATAGAGATTTTTCGTATTTTATTTGACTCCTGCTTTGGGAGTGTTGCAGCAAGAAATCAAATTCAACTGTGACGTTTTGTGACCCTTAGGCTATCTGATGCATTGGGTGTCCATAGCTGTATCATGCAAACTGTCTTTTCCGCAGTTGTCTGATCTTGACGGAGAGACAAGAGGCATGGTGGAGAAGATGATGTATGACCAAAGGCAACGAGAGATGGGCCTACCTACTTCTGAGGAGCAGAAGAAGCAAGATGTCCTCAAGAAGTGAGTATCTAAACCAATTCAGCTTGGCCGGTAGGCTCTGTAAGTGTGGTAAGGTTGGATAATATTGGGATATGTTAACTGTTACGAACTCAATGTATCTCTAGCCATGTAAAGTGGATATACCGTATTTACTCGCATAATCCTCGCACTATTTTTTGCGGAAAATCAATGGAAAGTTGGGGGTGCGAGAATTACGCGGGGAAAATTTTCCGTAAAAACAAAGAGCTCTAATAAAAAAAAAAAAAAAAAAGAAACGAGGCGGTTGCAAATTGAGGTTCTCGCGCTGGCAGCTACCTACAAAGTTTGAGAACTAGGTACCAATACAGGACTTACCTTTAGAATAAAACCACAGGTTCAACACAAAGCAAGATTTATTTACAAACGCAGTCTGAGTTAAGGCTGACCTACGTTGCCGATAACGACCTCAGTTCGAATTAGTCCTAGCATCGCTGGTCGTTGCCTCGTCGTCACCTCCCGATTCCTCGACGACCGCGGGCTGCGCGAACGCCGTCTAGTTGCGCGCCCGCAAAACCGGCTCAACTTTTGCCGCTGCAATACTGGGGGTGCAAGGATTACGCGAGGAAAAGGAAAATCCAATTTTAGGTGGCTCACATTAGGGGTGCGAGGATTACGCGAGTGCGAGGATTACGCGAGTGCGAGGATTACGCAAGTAAATACGGTATATTTGAAGAAAGTTACTTGAATTGTCTTCCTTTGGCTTCCACAATTCTTAAAAACAAAAATATATTTTAAGTTGATGTTTAGGGTAGTTATAAAAGTACTTTCAAAATCACTTTCAAAACTCCTGCCTGGTGCAGTCGGTGCTAGGGGAGAAGGAGTATGAGGTCTGTGAACGTCTTCTCCAGAATTCTGCGAGGCTTCCCAGGGTTTCTCCAAACCACCATCGGGCGATTGGTGACTTCGCAGCACATTTCCGTATCACTTCATGCGACTGTTGTTACTTGCCTGTTGGTCTACTTTTTTCGTTTTTGCAGTTTGTTTGTTTACATGTATATGGCATTTATGGCCTTGCATGCTTCTCATTGTGCTTGGTGGTGCTATTTCAGAGTGTGATGTGGCCGGCAACTGTTCAAAACATGTCTCATAGTGGTTTATTAATAAATATGTTTAATTCAGGGACTAATTATCCCCTTAACACAAAATTTTAGTTTCGACAAACGGTAAACCTGCATTAAACGAAAGTCAACAAGACAGCAAAAGAATTAGACGAAAGTGAGAGTACCATTAAAATGGTGACAGTAGCAGACTAGAGGTGCACAGGGACATGGTGGAAGCCTTAAAACATATTTATAATCAAAGAAACCTTGGTGGCGAGCAACTTGATAGCATATTTATTGAGATGCAGACAAGGAAGTGAGTCAAGCTTGCCGAGCGTTTTTTGCCAGGCTTCAGCTGTGGCTTTTGTGCAAGAGCCAGTAGATGAATGTCACCTCACTGAGGTTATTAATTTTCTCGATAAAGTTCACTAGCCCCTGCCTTCGCCATATTACTACGACACCCTGTTCTACAGCCCCACTTTCAGCCATGGCCATCTTAAAGGGACACTGACAGGGTATTTATGCTCGCCGAAGTTTTTAGTTGTACATGACATATGAGAGCCCAACTACCCAGAACACAATTTGCGGCTCGAAATTCGGTTTCTTTCCGCCCGAAAACCGCCGATCAAGAACTGGCCGGTTCAAGTCTCGCTCACTCTTTTTTGCGTGGTCACGGGCCATTTTCTAAGGTTTCGACATGACCACCAAATTTAATCAAAGTCGTTGGTCACTGAAGGGACACAATCAATATTAAAAGTAGAAAAAAAAAATACGAAAACAATTTTTTGTGGCTTCTATAAAGCTGCAAATATGTTGATTGAAAAAAAAAAAAAAAAAAAAATGTTGCACAGAGAACCGGAAGTATTCTGTGCATGCGTCGTTTCGCGCATTGTGGGACTCGGGGGGACGGCGATGGCAGCGGACAACGAGCGTGGGACCTCTTCTTCAGAACTGTCGTTCGCGGTACCGGCGAATCGTGTCTGCCTTTAAAAGAGAAATTTGGGACTGATCAAAAGAATTGGTATTCATCCCGTACGACTCGCCCGACCACCAAGCCGATTTGCACAAAGACGTCGCCGAGCCGTCGCTCCCCTCTCGTGGCTGAAGACATCGCTCGCGCAAACGTCAAGCACCGCACGAAGTGTGTACTTCGAGTTGAATATGCACGTGTACGATTTCTTCACTAGGTGCGAATGTCGCCAATGCGTGGTGCTTCGACTTCGACCCAGGAGTGCTTGTGCTGGAGGAAAACCGACAATAAACTTTCTAATTTACAGTTTATCGGCTGTATTATAACTCGGGGGGGAGTTCCCCCAGTGGCTCAGTGGAAAGACGTCCGCTTCACACACGGCAGGACCGGGTTAGATCCGCAGTGAAACCGTGTTGTTTTTTTTTTAGACATTTTGCGATGTTTACTTTTCTTTTTTTTACAATTATCATTGAAGAAAGAAACAAAAAAAATAACAAACAAATGCTGTGGACGAAACGTCTCTGAATTAAATGGTATGGGATTTCCTTTTTGACACCTCCAAACTCGATGTAATCCCTTTCCACAAAATGCAAGGAGCATATAAATCAGGTAGCGTCCGCTTCCCGAGGTGCCCGTAAATGTTCTACAGGAATTGCAGCCAGCCATTGGTCCCGATCCCGTTGATCTTTCGGAAACTCTGTCGCAGAATGCCACTTTTTGGATGCAGGGCATGTGAGCCAGCTATTCAAGCAACATCTTGGGTGTGTTATTTTCGGAGTCAATCACGGAAATTCACCACGGGCACTGACTACTCATCTTCTACTCCTGAATATACAAAACAACTCACTCTTGAAGTACAGAACAGCGAGCGGAACAAACATAACTGCAAAAGAATCGCACGGCAAATAGTTCCCGCTATGCCGCCTCGCATGTCGTCTTGTAAACAAAGGGAAAAAAAAAAAAGTGCACGGTTGGGTGTAGTTATTTGTCTCCACCACTCACTCTCTCCGCTCCACTTCTCCGACCTCTGTGCGCAGGTTTCAGTTTCGTTTTCGAGCAGTTGCATCTTTCAGCTTTATTAAAAATATACACTACTCTGCTGCCAAATATTAATTGGATAGTTCTCCGACAACTATAATGAAGCGCCTGGCACAAAATTAGAAACATTTTTTGGGGGGTGTCAGTGTCCCTTTAAAAGGCATGCCATGCCTCTTACTAAATTGCTCAAGCCGACTGTTGCCACTCTTGAACTCTGGCTTGTTTATTTGCAAGGCCAATGCCTCTGCTTTAGCAATCTATGCAGGTTTATGGGCAGGCAGTTCAGAAGCTGCGGCATTCGTCAACAACTTGAGACCTGCAGCTCGGGGTGCTTTGAATCACAAAAGCAAAATTTTCTTGCCTGAGAAAATTCTCAAACCCACCCAGCACATCGCTTATTCTTCACGGAGATCAGCAGTGCCGACAACACGATGGCAATCGATTTGGGCCTCCCACCTTTTTCTGCCTCTTGGATTATGACGGGCTTCTGCGCGAGCATCAAACACTTCTGCCTGGAACTTGGCAGTACCATCACTTTAGACCGATACACTGTTTACAAACAAGCCCGCATTTGCCCACACCAGGTGTGGGCACTGCGCGAGCGCTGAAACCAGGTTCGCTTGAGGTCAAGCTTCTGCGCATGTGCCGTGGCGACAACAGCGCCACCGGAGAGGCGTGATGTCAGAGCTGCGTGTTGGTCTGCAACCAGGTACAGGCTATGTGTGGTTCGCTACACTTATGTGGAGAAGCGCATGTCGGGGATGGTTTTCTCAGTATACCCCTCGGTCGCCGAATCCAACGGGAGAAAGCCGTGGCCCCAAACATGGCGTCGGAATGTGGACGTTGCTTCGACTCTTGTCACGTCGGTGGAAGAAGGCGGTGGCGCACTCCGTCACTCCGTTTGCCTTTTGGGATAAAAGGATTGCGAGAACAGATCGCCGTCATACCAAATATCATGCAATCTCCGAAAAAGATTTCGCTCACTCCCATTGGTTGTACCGTTTCTGCATCTTGGTCCATAGGTGGCAGGCCACAAAATAATAATGCAGCTGTGCAGACCGAGATGCCACCACCACTTCCAGTAGGAGTTCTAACATTTGTCTATTACTGCAGACTCTGGCTGACAGCTGCACTTTTAGGCTGAGCACAGCTGAGAGCAGGCCGTCTGCAGTCTTTTTAAAGAGGAGCTCCAGCGAAGTATCGGTGGCCATAGATTTCTATAACACTTTGTGCTCTAAATGTCCATCCACGATGAATCTATGAAGTATTTCTGCTTCAAAGCTGCTCTTAAGGAGCATCTTTGCTGCTTGTTCTTCCTGGTATCTTGTGAGCGTGTTTGGTGCGTGTCCTGGCGCCGTTTCTTCACACGTCCTTATTTTTGTTTTGGCGGCAAGAGGCCTGCTAGAAGCAGGCCGCGGGCTAAGTCTTTGACTTGGATAATTGGCAGAGAAGTTGTCGAGATCGCCGACTGCCACGATTGGCCAGTGCTGCGCTTGACCTTGGTGCTGGCCAGTGGCGGATGTCGGCCATCTTGCCGAGGTGGTCGGCCATCTTGCCGAGGTGGTCGGCCATCTTGTTGACTTTCTCGCCAAATGTCGTACTTAGAGGCTCAAGGCATCACTGGAACAAACGCGGCCGGATCCAGCCTGCGGGCCTTGGTTTGGAGACCCCTGCTTTATAGCCACTAATGGGTTGAGAATCCCAGGGAGGAGCTTCAGTGATCTTACCTTCAGTGCAAACCTCCTACCTTTGACAATGTCCGGCAGCTCGTGCACCTCCAGCTCAGGCTGGAGGCCGGGCGTCTGGAAGACACGCCTGGCCGTTCCCGTTCCGTCAATGACTACAGTCTTGTATGATTGCCTTGGGGAAACCCACCCCACCCGATGCATCTGTCAGATATTCCTTTGAGGCGATCGAATGAAATTAAATGGAATGTATGGCCCTGTCCTTTGCTTCATGTGGCATGGCAAAGCCGTATCTTACTATCATACTGTCTATCGCTTAATTAAGAGCCCTTCTTTCACGGACTGTGTAAAAGGGCCGAGATCCTCGTTACAAAACGTATACCACCACGTGCAGTACTTCAGAGGATGATCTGTACAAAAAAAAAAAAAAAAATTAAATTAAGAACAAAAAACAAAACTCTGAACACTTTGGTAAGAATCAAACTCACGCCCCTGATTCTGAGCTGGACGTTCTACCACCATGCCACTTAACGGGTGGCCGCACACTAACTGGTTTCATACCACGGTAGTCTTCACTAACTGTCTGAAAGCAAACGCCGATTTCCTGCTTTACGGCATTCACATTCAAACAATTTATGGGAAAAGAAACAAGAAATTCAACACATGCCATTGATCGCATAAAAATGGACAGAGTTTGAAATCTAATAACATGCTATAATCACGGTGAAAAAAACCGCAATGTCTACCACAATCCCCAAAGAGTGGCATGGAAAAACATTCCAAATATACACCGACTTTCTCCGGACGGTCAAGATAAATGGAGCATTTTTTTTCTTTCAGGTTTATGGAGCAGCACCCCGAGATGGACTTCTCCAAGTGCAAGTTCACATGATCGAGCTCTGTTCCCGCCAGCTGTAATAGTGATGCTTGTTTCTTATAAAACTTTTCAGTGGCAAAGCGTGCTGTTCCCTTTTGTCGATTGAGCAATCATGCTTTTATTTCATGAAACTGCACTTGGGCAGTCTGAGTATTAAACCGATTAAATGTTTTATTCTCTATTTTTTCTCTGCTTTTCTTTTGTAAGCCCGTTGCTGCGAGTAGTACAGTGAGAACAGTGATGTGATTGCTGCACCAATTGCGCCAAACTGCACCAAGGGGCTAACCCTGCTACATCCGGCTACATTTCGCCAAAATATGGCTAATATGTGCCAAGCCTGCGCCAAAGAACCAATTTTGGTCGCCTTTCAAAAACGAAACTAAACTAAGAACCGTATAATTGAGCATGCGTGAGCTAGGTGGCACAAGACGCTGCCCGATACAAAGTACCCTGCATCAATTGTCTATTCGGTCTTGCATGATTTTTCTCGTCTTCCGTTTCGCGCTCTCGTCGTCTCGAGATCTTATCTCGTCTCCAGGGTTTTGGGACAGATGTAACAGTAAGAAAGCACAAAACAAACAGAGGGACGCTTGTACATGTCTGTTTTCGTCCCTCTGTTTGTTTTGTGCTTTCTTACTGTTATATAGATATAGCTCAGCATTATATAAATAAGCGAAAATAAAATCTTGAGACAAACATGCAGCTCTCCTCTTTCTACATGTGCATCGAAAGACACTGACTGGCAAACAAATGATCAGTGGAATTGTATAAATTACTCAAAATTGTACCTAGGAGGGAGTTGCTAAGGCAAAAATGTACTCTGTATATATGGGTGCACTTAAAACTTAAATTATATTTTCACTCCTGCAAATTGTTTTTAACAATAAATAATAAATGTCGGGTGTGTCAGGTTGTCAGGTTCTAACAATATTCTTATTATAACTGGTAGCAGTGTGCAAAAACACAAGAACAAAGGGAGGAGTCCACGAGACGAGTGCTCGTCTTGTGCATTCCTCCCTTTGTTTTTGTGCGCTGCTACAAGTTGTAATCATGAACCAACTCACCTGCATCACCACATTGATTCAATATTTTAGCTGAGAAGAATTACCAGAAACGCTCAAATATCTTTTTTTGGCCGATTCATTTGGAGAATATAAGTCTGTGATTTCATCTCAACTCGGGCACGAATTTGGGTTGAATTTTTAAATTTTGTCAGAAAAATATGTGTTCTCAGGCAATTCCTATAATAAAAGAAGACTCAAATGGCAAGTTCGTCGGATTTTTTGTTCTCAAATTATGTACCGTTGAAGCGGCCAAGGTGGAAACACGTTTTTCCAGCTTATTGGGGATGCCATATTTCACTCCATCCCTTTTCCTTACTTTTTATGCTACATCAATACAGCTTTTTGGGAACACGTTCGAGGTATGCTTTTTTTCTAATTAAGCATCTAGGTCATAAGATCCTTAATGTTTGTTCCTTTAATTATCAAGCCGCCTCTCTGCGATGATGTTTCACGAAGTTCAGCAAGCTGTGCTGTGTGACCTAATCATATTTTTAGGATCTTTACATCACCGTAAAGCTCTAATTAAGCTTTTTCTTTTGAGTATAATTTTAATGTTTTGTGCCAAATATTTGATGCATGACATGTGCCTGAAAATATAATATTTCGGAAAACTGGCAAGTTTGGAGCCGATTTTTTTAAAAATCTCACCTCTTATTTCTTGTATTTTTTTATTCACAGTTAGGTAATATAGCAGTCTATCAGGAACTACCAACAGAAATTGTAATATATTGTTTGTATGGCCGCTATTTAGACTCGAATGTCGTGCTATGAGCGTTTTGAACGGGACTGCACACAGGCGCTCTGCTGAGCAGAATTTTGGCCTATGTAAGGTTTTCTATTTATCGTTAGCAGTGACCTCAATATCCAATCATAGACATTAATGAAATTTGGAGGAGTGCACTTAAATGCCGACGTACACTTTGCGCTTTCCACTTTTGCCCGCTCCCTCCTCTCCTATATCCTCTCCACTTTTTACCTTGCCCCAACTTGGCTCCCCTCGCAGCTTAGGAAAAGGGAGCGCTAAGAGGATTATCTTCCCTGCAGAAAACCCAGGTTGTACGTCGGTCTTTAAGAAAAAGTTACAAGTCCGTATCCACAAGTGCGGGCTTAGCGCTTGCTTCCTCTCAGTACGAGGGAATGCAGATAGAGAATAGACCCTTCCCGAAATTCAGTCTGGCCACTTTGATCACTATCATTATCAGTGGAACGGCATCTGTGCCATACCAATGGCGGCCTTCTAGTGACTGATAAAAGAAGACATTGAAGATGCTCCTAAGCGGATCTTGCGTGGCCTGTACATTCGGGGGGTCAGTACGACGCGACGTAGGAATGGAACACAAGAGCTACGTAAGCGTTTATTTCTAATAACTCAAATTCAGTCAATCTGTGCAGCACACAATCTGCTTTAAAGCACTTTGGTGCATAGAATTTTCTCGAGGCATCTGAGTGGGTTGGAGCTTTGTTCCGAATGCAGGTTCTTGGTCACCGTCGAACGGAAAGTGATCGAGAAAGAACACACTGAACAATTACTCGCGTGCTGTTGACTTGCGAAAGTGACAGTGCCGATACAAGTTCATGTCCGCCATTGATATGGCAAAACCTAAACTGCTTTACAAGCCACCAGATGGCACTGAATTTCGGAAAGGGTCTATTCCGCTGGGGCCTTTTGCTTTCGGCTTTGAGTTTGAAATACTGAACTTGGTATGTAATAGTCATATTTTCTTATGTCAAACAGATATGCAGTGCACATGCATATGCATATGTCTGATTTAGTATCTGATGGTTAGGAAGTGTGGTTTATTTTGTGCACATACGTACTCTGTAAGATAATGAGCATTTCGTAGCGTGTAAGGCTTCAAATATGTTAGTCATGTGTTTAGGTTTTAAATGTGTTAGTCATGTGTTTAGGTTTCAAATGTGTTAGTCATGTGTTCAGGTTTTATTTCTATTGTCAGTGATTCATGCCTGGTTACTTAGACTTTTTCCTCTTGGCTTAAGTTTGTCCGGGAGTCTAAGATGTTACCTATCTTCTCCGTCAATACATAGGGTGAAGCTCACACACCTTGCAAACCAGTGCCAAGTAAATAAATATTGTTAGGATAAATATTGTTGCTTCACTGGCTTTTGCGCTCAGATATTGAGGTAAGTACTATCATTAAATAGAAAACCTTCCATAGGTAAAAATTCTACTCAGCTGAGCATCTATGCGAGGTCCCGTTCAAAACTCTCACAGCACGAGACTCCACTCCTAATAGTGGCCATACAAACAATATATTACATTGTCTGTTGGTAGTTCCTGACAGAGTACTATATTACCTAGCTGAGAATAAAAAATGGAAGAAATAAAAGGTGTTTTGTTTCTAGAAAATCGACTTCAAACTTGCAAGTTTTCCTAAATATTCGTTTTTCAGGCAAATGTTCCGCGTTACATGTGTAGCGCAAAAGATTCAACTTATACTCAAAAGAAATCTTATTTGGAGCTTTACGGGGATCAAACAAAAATATATTGATTAGGTCAGACAGCACAGCTTGCTAAACTTCGTCAAATATTGTTGCAGAGGCATTTTGACAATTAAAAAAAATCAGTAAAGATATTATGAACTAGACGCTTTATTAGCATAATTCGCCTTTTGCATATTCTTTTAATAAAGGAATTTACAGGTAGCTACTAAAATTTTGAGAGGCATTAATTATGAGTTAGTGTATTTTTGTGAGTCACTTTTATTACTGGGCGACAAGTGAACAAAAACCATAATGTAAGCTTTTATAATCGCCATACAAACAGAATATGACATTTCCTGTTTGTTTTACTTTATAAAACACTGCAAAAGGTGGCTGGAGAAAACTAATTAGCCAAATAAAAGGTAGGCTTTTTAGATAACCGACCTCGAATTTGCAAAATTTTTGAAATAGTCCTTGATTTACGAAACAGTACTCCCCTTTCTCTTTTACACACAATATCAAAATTGTTATCATTAGAAGGAGTATACTCTAAGCTTTTGATAATACTAAATATGTTAAGACACCTCATATAGGTCACACGGAAAAGCTGGTAAACTTTGATAAAATATTGTTCAAAAACTTCTTTTTGGCAAATTTCCTCAAATATATTTCTACAATAATCGCATTAAATTATTTATCAGAGAATAAGTGTGTTGACAGGTATCTTAAAAAAATAGGAGGCAACCATTTTGAATTAGTGTATTTTTTGCGAGTAAGTTGATTTACTGACAAAACAGTCAAGCAAAATCAGATTTCAAGCTTTTATAGCTGCCATACAAACAAAATATTACATTTTCTGTTGTATTACCTTGTAAAGCACTGCAATAGCTAGAGAAAAAAAATCAGCTAAATAAAAGGTGGTTTTATTTTAGAAATTCGACCTCCAATTCGCAAAATTTTTTAAATAGTCCTTGCTTTACGAGAATACACTGCCCTTTCTCTTTTACATACATTAAATCTGTTATCAATAGAAATAGTATACTCTTAGCTTTCTGAAAATACTAAATGTGTTACAATATCTCAAATAGGTCACGCGGAAGAGCTGGTCAAACTTTGACAAATATTGTCAAAGGGACACACTGACAATAATTAAAACAAAAGTGAAGGTAAATAATCACAATAAAATTGACCATAAAGGTCAGTTTACGCCTCGGCTGCTTAAAATGTCCATAACTCGAGAACGAAAAATCGCCCGAGCTTACGGTTTGCACTCCCTCGCACAGGAGGGTTCTCCCCAAAACATATTTTTTTCGACAAAATTAAACATTCGAACCCAAATTCGTGCCTGAGTTGAAATGAACCACCCAAGTATATAATTCGACGAGTCCAAACATGAAAGTCGATTACTGTGAATATAATATATTATTAAAATCAAGGACGATATAAGTCAGTTACATAGGAAAGATTTTACCTCGTGTAAAATAATTCAATAACTCTGCAGAAGCCACAAAAGTGGCCGCACAAACGCCCCTGTAAATTGCAGTGGTTGGCAGTGGTGTTTGGGGTGCCCACTG